TTAAAAGGGATTCTGAGGAGAGAAAAAAAGTACTGTTGTTTCTGTAAAGATATCATTTTTTACAATAATGTGATAGCATTACAGCACTAAAAATGTGAATACATTGATTCAATTTGCTGTCAAAAAGGAATCAAATGTTTTGAAGGGGCAAAGTACCCTCCATATTACTCTAGCTAGTGATCTGAACATCCAATATTTAGCCCTGACTACCTGCAACCCAAACACCAGCATGCAAGCCTGCTGCTTTATTCCTGCAAGCTTTTAAAACTGTATCATCAGTAGATTCAGCATTACAGTCTGAACCCAGCAAACACCTACAAAACTTAGTCTAGATCCAGTTTTGCAAAGTGCCAAGCACAGTGGAATACTGGATGGTCATGTATTGCATTTAAAATTATGGAATAAGAATGCAAGATTAAGTTCATTCGTCCAAACCAGACAAGAAAGAACTCTGTGTTCATGGCTATGGAGAGACTTCCAGACGCACTGAAAGAACTGGAAGAGAGGGCCATCAGGCATGTGTGTAAAGCACTCAAAGCTAATCTGCAAGAAGCATTTCTATGCAAATAGGTTGATAATGTTGTATTTATAAACTTTCCTTTTTAGCCAAAGATGTTTAAAGGTGGCTTTCTAGACAGCTAAGAGATGTTTATGAATAATATATAAATGTAGAGTGATTCATTTTTTATTTATAAATAACATGTTTTTCTTTACTACTTAAATTTTAACTCTCCCATGATAGTTGAATGTGGTCACTTCCACACAGAACTATGTTTTCACAAAGCATTTAACTTCTGAACAATATGAATACATTCAAAATACATTTAAAAATTAGTGCTTGCCTAATTTATCACAGGTTACATTTTACATTACAGTGCTAAGGGCTAGAGCAAATTTATGTGCAGACTGAATTACACCAGGTCAGATTTACAGTTGACATTCCACATTATATGGACATATATTGTATAGAAAAAAAGATGCCAAGATCTGAGAGCTAAATGGCACTCAGTCATTTTATAATGTAATTACCTTAGCCTTATAATGGTCAAGGAATATCAGGATTTTGTACATGTTTTAGTAAGTATATAAACGGTTTAAATTTACAGTACAGGTCTGGTCTGCACCTGGTAGCAGATGGAGCTCTTACTGGACCCCCTTGAACCATAACATAACTCCAATAAGGAGGATTTTGTTTGCTTCTAAGAAGTCCTCCTGCACACAAGAAAGTTGTAGACAGTTTAAAGGATATTTGGCCTGTTCCCCAGACTACAGGGATCTGCCAAGTTTCCCACAATCAGGGAGGTCTCCATCAGGGCCAACACTCCTCTACCTGCCTCTTTAGTGCTGCTGGGTTCTGATTTAACCCAATGAGACCAGGACCAGACTCTGACCGTTTTGATAACCAACAGTTACTGAAGCTGAACAATAGGTATTGTAACAGTAATAAAAATATGCCTTTTGAGTGTAAAACAATAAAGAGGTTATTAATTTGACTCATCTCAGTGTATTGTTGCAACTCATATTCAGATGCATTAACCAGAAGAATAATGGGAATATCCAAGCAATAGCATCTCACATTTTAAACATCTGAACCAAAGATTGTTTCATTGTTTTATTTATGGATAACGACTGTGACAATAATTTAAATTTCTGATCTGTGACTTAACTGTAACCACAGATGTGTGTAAAACAGTAGTGCTGCTAATAAACATACCCGTTTTTTTTTTACTTCTGATACATGAGTACAGTTAAGAGCTGATACTTTTGTACTATCACTTAGGTAGTTCTAAAGGAGGAAACTTTTACTTAATTGAATATTTTACAAAGTTATCAAACTTTTACTCAGTTAACATATTTGAATGTTTTTTACACCCGTGTGTATTTTATATTTTCATGAAAATAGCTGTTCATGCAAATATTGTGATCTGTGGGAAAATGGTTAAACACCGGTATATCTATAGAATTGGAGCAACCAGCTCCCCTTGCGACCACAAGAGGAAGCTGGGCAAGAAGGCTTCCAGAAGGCCGTTTGAGTCTGTAGTGGGTCTAAGTTCTATGTGCAAAGCAAAAAAATCCTATTTACAGTTGTGTAAAAGTCAATTTTTTTCTTTTCACAGCTTGCATCAAATACAGTTTACAAGCCATCACAACCCTATCACATGGGTGATGAAATCCTGAAGCAAGATTACACCACTTTCAAAAACCACCTTTCTAATCATAACCACTCAGCTGTGCTACTTCCTCTCCTGCTGTCCACTCGACTTCTGCCATTCCCCATCTCGGCCTGCTCACAAAGCTTGATGAGGTCAGCTTAGTTTAATTTTCTGCGGGGACTGACCCTTTTGTCCAAACCCCTTGTCTCATGCCTTTTGAGTATTCAGATAATTCAGATCTCCAGTCTCCTTTCGCTCCTAATTCTTCCATTACACTCCCCCTGCCAGAGCTTCCGCCACACTCACAAACTGACACTTTCTCTAAATTTACAAGACATTCAGTCACTTCCACTTCTCAGTGCCCTGTTCCTCTTATCTCTTATCCTGCATGCTCCTTTCCCATACCTTTGATCTACTCTACACTCCCCCGGCCACATCCAAGCTACCCTAAGAGGAGAATAAATGGAGGTCTAAACTGTCTTCTCTCTTCCTTTCCTCGAGCTCTCATTACCGTCAAACACTCCTAGTATTAATAATCCAGTCTTCTAAAAAATCCATACAATCTCCTCCCCACCTTCTTATCCCTTCTCAAAAGTCCTTTCCCTTCATTTTTATCAGACACTAACTCTGCTTGCTTCAGCTGCTTCACTGACATCTGCTCTCATTTGTCTTAATCCTACTTGACTGCCACCTTTGACACTGTGGAGCACACTTTCTGTCAACACCTGACATTGGGAAACTTGGCACTACTTACACCAGTAGTGAAGAAGGCTCCACAGCCAAAACGGTGTGTTTCTTTGCCTCTCTTTTCAGCATGGAATAAACCTTTACTTGTTCCTTTGCAGCCTACGCAGGCTGACGCAGCTACCTACTTGAACTATATTTCTCTATACCTCTATTTCTCAACCTGTCTGCTTCTCCAGATTCCAATCCCCTCACACCCTTGGTCTATTCATTCTCCACCATGGCTCCATCTCACCACCGTTTGAGCTCTTTTCATGATTCAACTGCTTTGACAGTAGAGACCTCTTTCAACCTGCAATAAACACTTACCCCCACAAGAATCTACACTCTGCTCAAAGGACTCTTCTTTACTGTAATAGGTTTACTGTAAATTTCCTTAACTACAAGCTGTTTACTGCTCAATGGAAACACTGCTTTCACAACACTATGCATTGCACAAGAACTTCTTACATTATTCTTTGTTTACTGTATTTGAATGATTTGTTTTTGGTATTTACTTATGCATATTACTGTTGTTATTATTATGTTTTGTATTTCATCCTATATAAGAGTGTCTGCTAATCAAATACATATTGATCTGTAAGAGTCTGACATAATTCCATGTTCCCAAAAAAAAGTTATTATCCACTGTACATGGCAAATAATGCTAAAAATATATATATTTTCCTTTATAACCCACTGGAAAAACGTTGCAAAAGTTTTTTGTAGTTTGACATAAAAAATGGAACTTTTAGGTGTAAATGCAAAGTGTTATTTCTAAAACAAACCCAACAACTCTCAGTTAACACCCTCCCTACTGTCAAGCATGCTTGTGGCAGCATTACGTTATGGGGCTGCTCCTTATTAGCAGAACCTGGAAAATGTGTGACTGGAGGGAAAAGCTGGATAAATTAGGAATACTTGCTTCAGTCTGCTACAGAGCTAAAGCTGGATAGATTCAAAGTACAAGGTGGAAATTACACTCAAGTGACTTAACAAGAAAAATGTCCATAACCTGCCTTTCAAAGTCCTCCCTTGAATCCATTTTAGTACTTGAAATCTGTTATCTATTAGAAACCCCAACCAGCATAAAAGAGCTTGAGCAACTTTGCAAGGAAGAATGGGTAAAAATTGTTTCATGTGGCTGTTCAAAGTTGACACTTGTACAAAAAAAGTGTAGCTGTAAGTGCTGTCAAAGTTGATTCCATCAAGTGTTGACCCAAGACGAGGTGAATACTTATGCAATCAACATACTTGTAGTATGACATCTCCACATCACCACAACACTTCTAGCTTATTTTGCTGTCCATCAAAACCATAAATACATCTTTAATAATTAAACTGCTGTAAAAATATTAATTATTTACTAATGACTAATAAAAGTAATTCAGTCAAACACTTTGAATATTTAAAGATACCGCATTAGGAGTAATACAGCTTAACCCATTTAATATTATAAGAAAAAACTAAATATGGTAACAAACATGTATACTTAATGTTCTTATAGTTTCTAGCCTATTAAATAAACTTTGATGTACAAAATAAAACAATTTAAAAAAACGTATTGCTTATAAGAGTAATTATATATCTGATTTTTCCATATCATCAAAGAGACATATCATCACTTCACTTTCAATAACTGCTTATCCAATTGAGGGTAAATGAGGGTCATGGCGGCCCAGAGCCCATCTTTGGAATAATTCAGCACAAGGCAGAATACACTCTGGACAGGACACAAAGTACATCATAGGGTACAAACAGACAGAAACATGCTCACTCACACACCAGGGCAAATTTTACCAGATGCCAATTGACATACCAGTATGTATTTGGACTATGGGAGGAAACCAGCACCCAGAAGAAACCCACACAAAACGGAGAAGAACATGCAAACTCCACAAAGACAGCATCCCTCAATTGAGAATTGAGCCCAAGGTCCCAGAACTGTGAGGCAGCAATGCTAATCACTGTGCCACCCAAGACATACTGTAGCATGCTTGAAAAAGGAGTGTTGTGGTGGAGGAGTGACAAATGGCATGAAAAATATGTCAATACACAGCACCAGCCACACCAAACTCAAGGGAAATTAACTGATGAACAGAAGACAAAATGGCATTTACTTACTAACGGCAACAATTCCAAGTTTCTTGACCTATTGGCAAAAGAAAAAAGTAAAAAAAATGTTACACACTGAACATTCAGAAGCATTGCCATTCTGGTATCTCTAATACAATTTGTGATGAAAACACTGTAATGTGGTTTAACTGGTATCAGTTTTCTATATTTTTTTGTCAATCAAAAGCATGGCAAATCCTTTTACCCTTTATGGCCTGATTTTCTGTTTTGGGGTAAAAAGTCATATACTGTATGCCACTATATACATCTTTGTATCTTTGGCTTTGGCTATTTGGGAGATAAACTCTGGTCAGCATCCACCTCAATTCTGCAGTCTAACGTCTAAAAATGTTCCCGTCTTTCTCCATGAAGCCCAAATTCATAATTTTTTCTACTGGTGGGACTTTCAAGTCATCACAAGATATAAAGAGGTAAAGTATTAGACATTGGCTCATTAAATTTGCATTTTTTTAAAATTGTATCATTTGTGTAGGTATGACATCCATGAGAAGCTGCCCTTGAGAATCTTAACTGAATCACACGTCTGCCCATTTTACCTTCTCTTTACACTGTGTGATATATGACATATGAAATATCTGATACAGGCATTAAACATTAAATTACAACCGTTTTTGTGCAATATATGCCAGGGACCTGTGCAATACATTCATATTTATATTGTGCAATACGACTTTTTGGTGTACTGTTCTGTTCTTTGTGTGTTCTGGACTGTGAGTAACTCTTAGTGCACTTCTCACTGTACTGATTGTATTGTATAGATTGTATTATTATTATTATTGTATCATTAGTTACACTGTTGCTGTGATGTCCGTGTTAAGCTGCTGTTGCACTGCAATTTCCCTCACAGGATCAATAAAGTATCTATCTAGTCAGTCTCAAGACTTTAAATATTTTACTTTTTAAAATAATTTACATAATGGCTTTTAAAGGAACTGTGTTTTTTATTAATACAATAATTTATACACCTTAGCATTTAAGTTTAAAACAATATCTCGAGGTGTGGTAATTCAGATTCCCAACACAAAGCTGTATGACCCTTTTTTAAAGTTAACTTTGCATAGCAATCCAATGTAAAACTGACAACGTAGGAAAAATATTTAAACCTTACACATTCACTTAATCATTCATAAGACCATTATAAAATGCAGAAAATAAGAGTAAAGAAGGAAAATCTGTGCCCCTCTATGAAGTTACGAAGCCATGTTGTTGAAATTAAGATCCGGCTTTTGTCAAGTAAAGTCTGGGTGAGATCTCTCACTCAATTAGCTATTGAAAGACCATATGCGTTAAATGGCCCATAATTTCCTCCTTTCTTTTTTAACTATTTCTGCACTTCAATTTAATATTAGTTTTATTTCCGTCCTTTATAAATATCAAATGCTGAGGGCCAGCACAGAGTCACAATAACCTCAAGAAGTGCCAGTGTCACCAAAAACACAAAAAAGAGGGAAGTAGTAGTAATCAGAGACTGTGCTTGGGAATACTGTTAGTAAGCTATACAGCAAAGACCCTAAGTGTGTGCTGTCTAAAGAGCTGCTGGTTCAAATCCAAGTAAAATTATATTTTATTATAATATAAAATAACTTTTATATACAAAAGAACTTTCTTCTCAATTACTTATGTTTCTAAAACATTTAATGTATCTAGTACCACAGTCACAAAGTCAAACTTAATAGCAAATTTAATGGCAAGTACCAAGTCTCCATTGAAGTAATGCATTTTGCATTTTATTACACTTCCATCTTCTGACCTCAGCCATTAATGTAGAAATGACTGACTGTTTGTGCTTGTTGTTGGAGATAAATCTATTAACATTTTAATGGATTTCCCCTGACCGACCGCAGCCTCATATTGAAACCCTTTAAATCTAAAAAATCTCAATGATATTAAGATAAATTTGGTCTTGAGTTGCCAGGAATGTAAACTTCAAAAGATACATTAATTTTAAAACTAATGACCACTAGCATAAAATACCTTATGTTAAATTTCCCCTCAGTTTTTATTCTTTGATTAACTGGAAGGGTGCAAATATGTGTACAAAAGATTTTGCGGTCAGAGAAGAAATAATTCTAATGCCTGATGGGAACATATATTGAGCAAAGTACTGGCAAATCTTTGAGGATACCTGCGACCTCGTCCCAAAGATAATACTAGATTGGCTTAAGAATAAGACAGTGAATGTCTTGAAAGTGAAAATTAAATACTTAATACGATTGAGAATCTGTGGAAAGCCTGATAGCCGCTGTCCATAAGTATCGATATCCATTCCCAACCAACATAAGAAAACTTGAGCAAATCAGTCAAGAGTAATGGGCAAACGCTGCTCCAAGCAGGTGATTAAATCTAGTAGAAACCTAGCCCAAAAGACTTGCATCTTTAAGAGTTCATTGGTCTGAGTAATTTAGCAATCAGCCTATTTCTCTTAGTTGTTCCTGACATTTACTGTAACGTGGCCTCATACAGCTTCAGCTTGAGAATTCAGGTTTTGATTAAAATTATTTTTGTAAAAAATATGTAAGCATCATTTTGTAATATTAAAAAATGGGAAACCACATAGTGGGACTTGCAAGGAATTGGAATCGTAACATGTTGTTCGTCTTCTTACTTGCTCTCCCTTACTGTCTAGGAGTTGTAAGACCCTAATTTTTCACACAAGTAGCCTCTTCCATCTCAGTTTTTCCCATTTCCTGGAGGAGAGACTTAGAAAAACTCAGCTGCTGCTCTAAGTAATGTTAAGGGACCAGTAGGTGGCACTCTTCCCTCTAAGTCTGGAGTTCCAAAAAAACAAACATCCCAGCATTGCCACAGGGACACTGTGCTGCACAGAAAGTCATCCTTCGGATGAGCCATCAAATAAAGATCCTCTTTTATTTATTAAAGACACCACAGTTTGTAAGAGTGTTAACCCTTATGACTTAGTGCTAGTCAAGAATGCAATTTCAACATCTGGCCTACCTAAAGCACATGTCACACAAGTGGGTCATTCAAGGGCTTTCCCTGGTTTCTGGAAAATGGATGTGGGAATAAGGGGGGACAGGAGAGACTGAGATGGGTAACAAGGACAAGAAAAATGTGAAAAAGTGCAAGAGGGTGAAAGGGGGAAGAAAGAGGTTTTAATCCCAGAGATAAATTACAGAAGTGTGGAAGGCTAAAATCTGTGAATAGAAGAAATGAGTTGATCATTGAGAGGTATGAACCCAATTTAAGGATATTGTGGGGTTTCTGATATCTTTCTGAATTAGGAGCTGAATCCCTGGGAATGGACAGATCAGTTAGTGCAATCATAACCATGAGAGGTAGAATGTGGAATTGCTGGCGTTCGGAGATCACACCAAATAATATTTACACATACCTACACAAATGAAGTTTGTGAGCGATCATTAACATGCAAATGAACCGCGTGAAATATGTAACCACTTCATCTGTTTGGACAGCATAATTTAAAAAATCAATTATGACCAGAGATGTAGCGTTCCAGATAAGATAAACAATCCCCTTCGTATCACGATTTCATGCAGTTGTTCAAAAATTAAGATATCATGCAGCTTTTTCGATTTGGCTTCGTTTCTCAAAAAGATGGCTTTAGATGTTAATGTAATCGTAGAATTAATCATGCATAATCCGAAAAGCACATTCACCAAAGATGTTTTTCATGTTACAACAGGTTTTAATTTCGAAAATGTTCTTATTTGTAAGAACGTGTGCGATAATATAGATGCTGTGCCTTAGATAACATCACAGAAACTCAGACTGAGATGGACCTCTTGGTAACCGATGTAAAAAAAAACTCCTTGAGGTGTTTCTTGAGAATCATAATCTGATTATCGCCTCTTTCCAAACCGCATTACATTATGATTCGGGTTAAAAAAATAGCCAAAACTATTTACATATATACTAGATTTATATTACTATTACAAGAAAAATCTAGACACAATACTGATGTACTGAAACTAATAACACGCCGTTTTACGTATTTCACCCAAAGCCTTTCTTGACCTAAATATCAAGTTTCTCCGCCTCAACATTTTAAATATTTTTATTTCCAAGTTTATATACAACAGTATTGCACTCACGTTGTAAGTATGGAAGCATTTTCCCACAGCAGTGACCACGTAGAACTCCCGGTGCTTTTTATGGTAGCGCACCACGTGGGGAAGGTGGTTGGAATAAAGTCCCAGAGCCCTGAACCCAGAAAATAGAGCGCTCCCTTTCTTATTTGCGACAGACATAATACACAACTGTAACTGTAACGGACAATCTTCTCAATTATCTGTGTATCCTAACTAAAATTAAAATTTGTTTCCACTCGAAAACTGAAGCCTGTATCTCATGAGGATTCCATGCTGCTTCCGAAACAAGCGTGTCACGAAAAAACAGTTCCTGTAGCTCCCTTGAATCATAAATATTTAGTTCCTACTTTAAAATGGTTGTAGATCCACCGCTTTCATTGAAGTGCTTGATTAATTGATTAAAGCTAGTTTTATGTAAAAAGTATTCATTATATACATGATGTTTTATGTATAAGAATATTTACTTTTTAATGGATCAAAGAGATGGTAATTTATTTTTTTCAAACATAACTGCCAGGTAAATATATTTCCTTTTGCCCCTGTGCTATTAATGCCTCCTAATTCCGGTTTATTATTACTGAGATACGTTTCTGATACGTCTAGTAAACTCTTTTCAGAATCTTTATTAAATACACTCGAAAAATGTGTTTCCATGTTCTCTGAAACGTATGGTGTTCTTAATGAACCGTCAGAAAAGAAAGCATGTGTGCCAGTTCTGATTACTTTAAATTTACTGAGTTGATACGATGACGTTATAACCACTGTGCCACTCCCAGCTATGATATTTCAGTTTAATTTTTCAATATACTGTATAAGTTTTCTCAATAAAGTTTTTTCCACTTCAAAATGCAGAGCATTGAGTGTAAAGAAGAGGAAAGCATTGACTACAAAAAGTGAGAAAAAAAACAAGGGTGTAGACTTTCTATGGGCACTGTAATTCTGAAGTGCAATTTGAAATTACAGAGATTCCACATGGAGTTCCTCTTGTGGAATCATTGAACACTACTGAACTGAAGTTGTGGAATTTCCATCAAATCCAAATACAATCCAATTTAATAATGCTCACCATGTCCCGCAATAAGGATTCTTCTCCTTCACATTTATTCCTCTTGTTTGCCCTCACTCATACACTATTGTCTGGAGTGTCATGTCCCAAACCACTTTTCTCCTTATCCATTTTGAAAACACTACTTGAACTTCCTTTGAAATTTTCTTTTCAATTATGTTATGCTTTCTATCTGTTAATTCAAGTGGTATCCTCGTTCATGTGCTTTATCTTTAGCTTTCATAAGTGAAGAATTCTGAATTGGTTTCTATTATGGTGTTCCTTTTATCTCATTTTGGGCTCCTGTCAGCTTCATCCTCATGGGCCATTAGCACAGTGAGGTAACTTATGGCAAACAAACTTTAACATTTTTATCTCTGTTGCATTAATAACGACTTGGCTAACAGTTGAATTAATATTATATTAAGAAAACAGAAACAACATATCTCTTTATTTCCCCAGAAGATCAGAAAAAGAAACATAGCATACATCTTCCAGCAGAGCAACAAGGAGAAAATTACCTATCTTTTTTTACAAACAATTCTCTGTCACCATACTGAAGAAGAGATTTTCATGGCTTCCAGACAAATAGTCTCCATATTGTCTATGTGCCCTCATCATATCCCAGTCCTGTTGTGCTGGCATTCCTGAACTACCAGTAATTAGGATTTCCTTAATTTTTTCATGTGAATATAACATCAGGTTGTGATTTTTTGGTCAGTAGAATCTTAGCCCACTTGAGCACCTGTGGGTAAAGGTGAACATACTGTATGCATGTGTAAAAATTTGACCCAGGTATGGAGTTGTTTCTCCTGACGTGGCTGCTCATGAATTGCACCCGAGTACTTAGACGTCACCGCATACCCACGAGCACCATAGACATTCACGCACTAATTAATCAATTAACATTCCACATGATCTTCCCTATTTATACTCTCTCACTCCACTCAGTCTTCACTCACTATTGATGTTCCCTTTCCTGAGCTCAACCTTCATCCAATCATTTTCATCTGATTAACTTTTTGGCTCTCGAAACTCTAGCACTATCCCTTGACCACGGCTTCGCTTTACGTCTTTGGACTTGGATACTATTAGTACTAAATGGAACCTTTCCGATAAAGACCTACAACCGCCTTCCATAGGTTCCAAACCAGCCACTTTGCTGCAACTCCTGACAGTGGCTTGAGTGAATTTTAAACAGACACCTGCTGTGACATCTCAGGAATAGCTGAAAGGTGGTGATAACATTATTAGGTATAGCCACTTCACCATAAAGGGAAGCATTTTGGTAATGGTCACTCAAACACCCATCATATTAATAACAACAAACCGAGCTGGACATGGATTTAAAAGCTTTTAGAAAATACTGCTGGAAGTCTGGACATTGTTGGAAATGCACCTTGTATGTGTCTTCTTCCAGTGCTTTCAGGAAATGGCAATTTTCGTAACAAAATAAACTAATCACAAACCTTTACCAGATTGCACTTTTACTCCTTGCATCCTTAAAAATGCATTAATGCATCAATGGCAAAGACCTCTTAAACGTTTTGCTATTAGTTGGAAGTCTTTTGGTCTGCCAGTCTGAAAGTTGCTTTGCAAATGCATTCACACTTGCAATCCAGGTGCAGTGCCTGAGCTAGCCTATGTCATGCTCGTTTCTTACTTATATGCAAAAAGAGCTAATCACAATCTTAGTATACTAAGCATCAGAATATCCCACATATTGCAGGTACTATGCCTTGAAAAAGTATTTACCCCAATAATGCTGATTCCCAATATGTCCCATTTTATTGAATAACAAATTATGTGATCACATGTTTAAAAATAATATTTTCTTAATTGGAATGCTCTATCTTTTGGTGAAAGAGGTTAAAAAACTACAGTAACTGAAAAGAAATTTTGTGCATTAAATAAATTGATTACATAACTATTCTCCCCCCTGAATCAATTTTTGGTGTAAGCACCTTGACACACACGTTCATCTTTACAAACTTGATCAGGGTTTATCTAGTTGAGACGTAAAACTAAGGTCCAGGCTCTCTTGGAATTAAAAATCCCAAGATGTTTCTCGAAAAGAGTAGGGGTGTTAGCCCAATGTGCTGGCCAAATTTCCAATTGACCTCACTCTGTTCTGCTGTAGCATCATCCAGGTGTGTGCTATACATTGGTGGTGGTAGAGGATAGTCTTCATTACCTGTAAAGTGCTTTGAGTGGAATGTCCAGAAAAGTGTGATATAAATGTAAGGAATTATTATTATTATAATGATAATAATAATAATTATTATTACTACTACTACTGTTATCCATCCATTTTACACTCAGTCTTGACAATCTTATCAGTCCCTGCTGATAAGAAGCAGAGCTATGGAATTATGACACCACCAGCATGCTCAACAGTAGGGATAGTGTTGACTGAGTGATGCTCTGATGGGTTTAAGGCCAGGCATAACGTTTTGCATTTAGAATAGAAAGTTCCAGTTTTTCTCATCTGACCACAAAACCTTTTGCTAACTCTATTAGGGAACTGAGATATTTTTCTTTTTCATTCTGCAGTATATGCTAGCTGCTTTGAAGTGGCTTGCTTGAAGGGAAAGCCATTTCTTTCTGACAGGCTGGGAATCCAAGTGCCTGGTTATTTTGGAGGTTGGTAGAAAGAGCTGAAGTGGTAGAGATGGCCAAGAGAGAATGGAGAGTGACAGAGATTATGAAATGGACATGGTGATTGTGATCAGGATGGATATGAAAACAAACTAGTAAGGAACTTGGAGCCATTGCTGGGTGGGAAACTGATTATTGTCAGGCGAATGAGGTTTGGGACAGACTTGAAATTCTTTGGCTAGAATCACGCAGAGCAGAATTTGGTTATGCAGGTTAGTACTACTAGGAATGGTCATGGTCATGAAGCAGCTCTATTACAGAGTACCATAGCAGTAGCAAAGCAGGGCTTAAATGGTATGATTTGATTATGGAAACTCCAGTTAATTTGATGACGAAGGCTAGAATAATCGGCTAGAGTGAGTCTGAATTGGTGGAATGTGACTCCTTATAGGAATTCCTCAGTAACTGAGTGCTACACTGGGGCAGGGATGAGAGCTATGCATGCTCGCTGGAGAGGCTGCAACTGGGAAGCACATACAGACTGCTGGTGTTGCTCTTTCTGGTCACACAGGTAGGAGTCAAAGCAGGAAAAGTCAGACGAGACACTTTCCAAAGCACCGGGGGGGTCTGTAAGTGCAGGTTGAGCAAGCCAGGGTCCAAGCCAAGAGACATACTGTAAATATTCCAAACTGAGGCAGGGGTACACTAAAAAGGTCATAACAAGCCAAGTTGGAAATTCAGACTAGCATTGGAGAGGGTACTTGGGGACAAAGACAGAAACTCAGGAACAAGAGAACAGATGTAGCTATCAGGGAAACAGGAACTTGGGAATACAGGAACACTGCAACTCAGGAACTGGAGAACTAGGTGCAGAAATAGCTAATTGAATGACTCTATACCATAGTGTCTAGTACAGTCTGACACGGCCTTAAGTAGCCTGCACCATCTGATACTGGGATGTTAATAGTCACACAGAGGATCAAACTTTCTGTCTGATGATGCATCTGTGGTAACCAGTGTTGACAGGAAAGTGGAGATGTGGCCGGTGACCATGGTTTACCACCAAATTTAGTAGAGGTCCCCTCAGTGATCAGATAAGGTTTTGGTTCTTGAAGGACGAATCCTGTGGCAAAGTTGGGTTGTAGGCTTAACCTCATCAGCCCTGTCACTTCTTCTCCTGCTCTCTTCTTTTTACATTCTACTATTATCTGTTCTTCATAATCTTTCTCCTTAGGTGCACCTCATGGACATATTGTCTACTGGCCATTCCTGGAATTTTCAGGAAATTCCCTAACTGATAAGTGATCTAGAATGTGTTCCTCAGTCAAACTAGGCTGTTATCTATCTAGATAAAGCTGCAGCTTTGTAGATACCTGGAAACTACCTTTATCTAGAATCACCAGGCACACCGGAGCCTTGAATTTTGAAATGAGGAACCATTTTCTAAAGTAATGATTATTAATTATTATAATGGGAACCAGGAGGCAACCAAGCCAATGCCAGAAACTGAAGCAGGAGACTGGGAAGCATTATGTGGAATAATCTTTTATGTGGTGATAGTTCCAGATCTCCCTTAGCTAATATCATACTTGATAGGGGGTCTCCTTCTATCACACACTTAATCAATTAAACAGTTGTTCGGGCGGG